GGTGGGGGCGAAATGCAACAAAACTCACAATCCTAGGTTGATTTATTTTAAAACAACTTATCTTTCTTGACGTTTTTGAGTTATTTAGCTTTGTCTTTGGCTGATCACTGTTTTTCTCTCATATTCCTTGCGTGTGTACCAGACTGTGCTAAGTTACTTTACCTTTTCATCCTCTGTTGCCGTTAAGCGTCGAGGGGAGATGCAGTTTTCTATGGCAGGATAGCTCTGCAGCTCTTTCATTTGTGATGTTATGTGCGTAAGGTTTAATAATTGTCACCCTCTGATCCTATTGAGTCTTGTCCATCGAAGAAACTGTGTTAAAGGTAATACATAATATGTCTAAATTGGAATACAGCAACCCATCTCCGATGTCCTCTTGTGATATCACAACATCTTCCAATCTCCCCCTATTTTCTTGTAACTGCCCAAATGTTTCCCATCTCCCCATGTCTCCTTGTAACACCACAACAGCTTCCAATCTCCCGATGCCTACTCTTCACATCACAAACTTTCAATCTCCCACAACACAGCATCCTGCGCATCTCACTTGGGCTGTTTCCGTTCTTTTTGAATGCAGAAAGTGGAAAAGAAATCCATCCATTAGCCTGGTCATCCCCTCTCAATAACACAAACGATTAGGCTCTTGAGAAGGCAAATTGTGTCAGTTTTATCAATCGTATATCACACTTAGGTCTTATAACCAATATAAACTTACACATTTCATAAACTTTTCTGTTTTAATTTATGAATGCCAGTGTCTCATATTGACAAGATTATATTATACACATCGTGACTTTGAAGATGGTTCAATTCTTGTTGTGGCTCTGTCGCTCTATTAGCGATGAAATAGAATCTTAAACCAACGTCTCGACGAAGTAGATCTAATCTTGACTAGTTCTGTCCCGCTTTTTAAAAAGTAATTTCTCACAGAAATTCGGTTACTTTCCCTGTCAGTAAATTCTCATCTCATGACACACATTCGGATATAAATCAGAGGAACCAGCTTTATCTAAGCAGTCATAAATCTATCCTCGCGATTTCAATTTTCTTTTATGCAAGTTCTTGACCCATCCCGCTACTTCCTTCCGCTTCTCTTTCCACTCACGTAAGTCCTCCTGCCATCTTAACTTCCGCTTTCTCGCTATCATCACCCTGTTTCCCCCTCTATTCTTGAAACTTTTCTATTATTTGGAGCGTTGGTAATGTTTATTTACCCCCCCCCCCCCCCAACCAATCCCCTGGCCACTTGTAGAAAAGGCAAAAATAACATCCAGAGAACAAATAATACAGAAGAACCAAACCAAATCACAACAAGCCACTACTTCGAGCCGACTATCGTGGTCTTGTTTCATTTCTTTGATTTTCTTTTCTTTTAACCCCAGTTTTCTTTTCGGGAGCTCTCCCCTAACCCTTTCAATTTTCCAACTTCATGGTCGCCTGAACCATAATATTCTTCGAGTGATTTTTGACTTCATGTAAAAGTTGATCGAAAAGCTGGGTCATTCCGAAATGGGCTTCTTCTGGGGTTTGGGGGGAGGGGAGGAAGGAAAGGAGGGGTGGGGCAGGACGGGTAAATGGAAAGGGGGGGGGGCAGCGACAAAAGGGAGAAGGAGAGAGGGGGACTGCGTCATTGGCCCTCATTTTACCAGCCTGGACCCTCAGTTGATGGCTCAGTACGTCAGCGGGGGCAGAAGGTCAAGTCAGTACGCGATAAAGATGTAACCGCTGCGCAGGAAAGGTAGTGGCGTACGAGTAGCACCTCACCAGTAGGGTAAATTGCGCTCTTCGTAGGCGGTACAATATTTTGTTCGTATGTCACAGCCCTTTTGGGTTTCCGACGGAGAGCACAGCACTTATAAACATTTTTTTTGCTGTGATGTACACATTGTGCATGCCCGACATTAACTGTTTATGTGCTTAAACACTGATTTTCAGAAGTAATTTCTTTCTTACTATCCACAGGAACTACTCAGAATATCACGTAGAGTGCTCTTTTCTTTTCTTTTTTAAAACAGAAGATAGCATCGCCAACTGTAATTACGATTGTAGATATCGGGATCTGAGTCAAAACAATATTTGACCTAATTTGGCGGATAGACGCTTAGAGTCGGACGCTGACTATATGCTATCGTAAGGATAATGTCTTGAACTCGTTGTATTAGTCATTCTTTCATCTTTACAGCATCCAGTGGATAAACAACCCATTTGTGTCTAGTCGGGGAATGGAATATGAAGTACATTTTTTAAATAAACTATTCACACTATAACTAGAGCTAATTACTTCCGAACGGGTACGTTGCAGTTTAGTTTAGTTTTCTGTTTCGAGGTTATAAAATCACGTGTCACCACTTGTCGAGTTTTTTCGTTGGAGTCCCTATCTTCGCCACAAAAGGCCCCCTTCTTTCCTTGTCTCTAATTCGATATATTTATTTAATGGACTTTTAGAGTACAGTCGGATTTACGTTCATGCGGTTGGCGTATCTAAATTGTTCCGTATTTCTTCTTTTACAGGCACACCCGATTTCATCACCATGGTTGAGATGCATCTACCGTCCCCTGTAAGTCTCTGCTTGTTGCTTGGGACGATTTCCTTCCTGTGGCAGAGCTCTCAAGGTAAGTTCAACTTGTTTTTTATGTGTGTTTGGTGTGTTACGATGAGGATCAAACGGATTTCGTACCTTAAAAAAACTACGCTTCATTTCTAGGCGGCAAAATGAAACTAGATGTTTCTTTTGGTCTTAGAAGTAAGTGATTGTGACGCCATGTTTAACGTATGCCATTTTTTTTTTACAACAACCCGAGACATTTCGTAGACGATTCCTACAAAGTGGGCATTTTGCGGTTTCCTTTTTTGCAAGACGGGATTCTCGGTCGATAAATCTACTTGAAGCAAAGCTGGACAGAAAACGAAGCGAGTGTGGGAAATAAGTCGTCCGTTCTGTTGAGAGATTGGTGTGTTTGAGAGAGAAGTCATAACAGTCGGGGAAGCTGCGTTCCTTGTTGATGGGCCAGTTGGAATCTTATATATACCGAGGTTAACAGGGTGTAACTAAACAACCGCTTTTATTTCTATTCCCAGGCATTTAGACCACAGCGTCGTTGACGTACATTTAGAGCAAACAATACTGTGCAACACAAATGGACGAAATTCAATATCAATTTCATTAAATTAAAAACTAATACTTCACCTACAGTTTCCTGTTGTAGTTTTTTGTGCTTGGGTCAATGCCTTCTAACCAAAATACAGGTTCTCTATATCCGCCCAGCTTATCTCAAGGCCGTATTTGCCTATTGTAAAAACTCAGCTTCCAGGCTGTTCCAGTGGCCAATAATGTGGGATTTTAAAAATTAGAAGTGACATAAGCAAGTTAAAAGAATCCTAATGAAGCAATGGCGTCCTCTGGGAGAATTGGCGGATAGACATGATGTGAAGTAGGGAGTGAGGAAGAAGAAAGCATTTGAGAACAATAAACATGTTGATGAAACACATCGGTAGGAAAAGGTGGAACCCTTAAATGGACGTAAACCCTTTGTGAATCGAAGGGCTTTATTGACAAAATGAAAACTGTAATTGCACTGAGAAGGCACGGCGAGTAAGATAATATACTATTTCTTCAAAAAAGAGAATGCGATGAAAATATCTTTATTTCCTCGAGTCAACCGGGAGAAGAGACAGCTCTTCAAACGGTGCACACCGGACGTGCTGAAGGGGCTCGTTTACTCTACTTTCTCAGCCGCAGCGCCTGTGAAGACTTCCGGATCCCGTTATCATTTCCGCCGCTTCCGCCTTCCCATAAAGCCCCCCCCCCCCCTCCGCTCGCCTCCAACACGGCCAGCAATAAGGAGGCTCGCTATTGGCTACTGTATCAACGAGCTTCACGCAACGCCACCTGTGGCCATTAGAGGGATTTATCCAGGGGACGTGATAGGTAAATGTTAAACGGTGCGTAAGAAATACCCTCCTCCACCCCAACCTCAAATCTTTACCCCACCTCCCACCCTCTTTTCAGCCTCTTGTTTATATTACGTCGTCTCGCACAAGATTTTGCCTCAGGTAGCCTTTTAATTACTTTTCATACGAACCACATGAGAGAAATAATGGGATCATGCACCTGAGAATTATAATAGATGCGTTTCAGCGCCCTGAAGGAGAAGTATTTTTTTTAACACTTTAAAGCGGTGCTTTTCAAATTAAAAATAAAAAAATAGCCAGCGCCCATTTTCATCATTTTTAAGAGGCAAAATTTTTCGTACCGATAATTTACTTTTATTTCGAAACGAGGCTTACAACGTAATAACACATGTTACTACCAGTGTCATCCTCATCGACCACAAAAATTACCAAAGTGCCCACTTGTGAGCAATACCACTCATGGTGGCAAGTACTGCTTTAGAGAGATGAACACCGCTGGGAAAATAGCCGGAAACCATTTTTGGTTGGATCGTGTACTTGGCGTGCATACAAGCTGTAAACCATGACCTTAATTTGTATAAATGGGCGCGGTCTAATTAGGTCGTTTTAGTGCTAATCCATAATAAAATAACATTGTTTTTAATTTAACCATTAGGTGTACCTTTCTGAAGGTGAATCAGTCCCTGAATATTGATTACCTAACTCGTTTAAAGATAACTTCATTGTGTGTGTATGTGTGTGTGTGTGTGTGTGTGTGTGTGTGTGTGTCTGTGTGTCTGTCGCGGCATCTGAGACCACACTTATAACTCTTGAAGTGTTTCCACCTGAAGGGAATATCGAGGAATTCTCTGGACAGACATGTTGACACGAAACGCCGAGTAATATTTTAGTTGTAAGTAACCTGTAGTGAAATCAAGAGTTGTAACATCTTCTACAAGATTGTCTGCCAAATGCGGGCCTTTGAAGTTAGCACGACGGAAAACATCAGGCCACAGACTCGGAGTATGAATACCTGGATCAGTTATTGTTTTATGAAATCTGGCTAATTTATTTTTTGTGGGGAGATCCTGCCCAGTAAATTTCCCACGTTTACTTCTGCTGTCTGTTCCTCTCCAGCGGTTGCATTTCTCTCCCATTTTTACTTTGTTTCTGTAGATTTTTACTTTTCAGATTTTTTACAGATCACATAACAAGAACCAAACAAGTTTAAAAATTGGGGGGAAAAGGATGGTGGTGGTGGAGGTGTCCATAAATACTGTAGTGAAGGAACGAAGTCACCTGGACACAGACACGCGCATACAGGCTCGCGAGCACGCACAATGCACGCATACGCACCCCCCC